TTTTCATAATTCTCAATGTACGTATATTAATTTTTTAAATTCATAATTCAACTATGGGACCTTTAATTCGTCGTTCGAAATTTGAAAAGGCCGCCAAATCGCCCTTCCACTAGTCACTCGATCGGAGAGGCACGTTTTTGTTTAAAAATAAATAAATAAATAAAAGGTGGATACTATTTTAAAAGATTAGAAATTGTTGCCTCGTGTTGTTCGTATGTTGGCTTCCATTGAAAAGGTTTTTATTTATTAAATATATTTTTGTTAGGTATTTTTTACGTATACATTTTTCGAGAAACGCGTGCCCCGAACTTAAACGAACATAAAACTAATAAAAATTACCTATACTTTAAATGTTACTTGATATACGAACAAAAGTGTTCACTTTCGTATGTTTGTTATTTTCCGTTTTTATGACACGATACTAATAAAATCACAAATTTTCGGATTATCCGGACTTTCGGTCATCCGGACGTCTCGGTGGTCTCTTTAAGTCCGGATGTACGGATTTCTACTATATTTTATTTTTATTATTTTCAGTGGTCTAGGAAAAAATGGCCTAAATCTAATTTAACGCTATTAATAAGAAACAAAAACATTAGATTAATGTTTTATTATTGCAATATGTTTATGATGTCACGTTTTTTAAAAAACAAATAATATATACCCATGGTTTTGAAATTATTCTATAATTTTTAAAGTAGCAAATTTTTAGCACCGCTGGATTGATTCTGCAAAAGAAAGAAATCTACCTCCCAGAGCTGCCGTGAGGGTTTTTTTGTTCATGTTTTGTGCTGAAAAATTACATTGCAGACCATGATTTTTTCGTGATTAGACATGTCCTTCTGATGCTTTTCTGATTTCTGCCCCTAATCTTCTTATTCGATCGATCTCTCGATGTAGAAGAACCTCTAAGTAGGTGACTAATTTTTTTATATTCGGTAATTTTGTTCACTAAAAACTTTACATTGCAGACTATGACGGAAAAACATTTTGGAAATATATTAAAAATATGTTCCTTTTTGAAATTAAAGTATTGAATCTTTTAAATCGAGTTATTTTTTTCAGTTTTTCCCTTTGAAGGAGGAGAAAGTATTGCGTTGGGCCGAAAAACGATGTGTAGTTTTCTCCCGATTGATTTTTAGATCCCCTGTGCTTGTGAAGAAAAAAAAGAAAAAGAGAAATTTTTAGCCTCCCCCCCGGATGACCAACCTCGATCCGCCCTTGATTGCTACCTAGATCTTTAATATTTTTTGCATATAGTGTGTTTTACAAATGTTTTCTGGCATTAAAATAAGGTTATACTTGGGTTTTACATCGTCAAAGCAAATTTCACATAGGTTTTTTCTTCCTTAAAGTAGGTTTTACTTGTAGTCAAAATTGGCTTAACTTTTGGTTTTCCCTTCGTCTCCGTAGATTTCACATTGGGTTTTCTCTTCGTCAAAACATGCTACTATCGGTACCAATGCGAGAATTATCCACTGCCAATGTAAAACTGATCCACCAAGAGTAGAAATGACAGTTTTAGGGTACTGCCGATGATGACATTGGAGATCAGAGTGGACATTTCTGTTTTACACTGCGGCAGCTTTCATGCTCAGGTGGGTATCACTTTCTTCAGAGTAGGTTGTAAATTTGTTTCGTTTCCTTGTAAAGTTAGGATGTGATGATGATCATAGATATAAGAATGTGGGGGTTGTTCGTTCCCCAAGCAATGCAGCCTTCTCTTATTGTACTGTCCTAGTTCCTTAGTTCAGTGCAATTGACTCGATCCTTTCCGAACAAATCCTTTCCCTTGGTTTTGTTTGTGTACATTGGGCTGTTGCTTCGCATTCGAAGATTATATGGGCGGCCCCGTTGCATAACCTACAAATGGGGCCATCGTTGAATATGCTAATATTGTGAAGATGTTTTCGCAGATACCAGTGATCGGTAAATAGTCCTATCAATCCTCTGAGTTTAGCCTCTTTAACTATAGCAGTGCTCGTTTTGGTTGTTTTTGTATTTTACTGTGTCCAGCACCGCTAGAGTTTATCCGCTTCTCCTTTTTTGGATCCATTCTGGGATGGATAATGCTGTGATTGTTTTTGTTATCGCAAGAATAGGTTCAGGGCATATGGTATTACAGATCCTTCTCTTTCCACGGTTTGCTTTTTCGTTTCCTATCCCTTGCGTCCTGCTACCCAAGATATCAGGTTGTTGTTTCCTCACGTTTTGTAAATTTTGAATGCGTTCATTGGTTAATTTTGATGTAATTTATTTACATGCTTTAATAGCTGCTTAGCTATCCGATCTTATGAGGATGCCAATGAAATCCCTTTTTAAAAGTCACACAAAAACTGAGGTGTACTTCCCTAATTAGTTGAATTTTTCATATTTTCGGCTTGTACAGAAAACGCCTGATATATCCTCCTTTATAGTCTCTTGAGACCGTATAGAACGTTGTAAAGCATGTTTCCGAGATCATGTAGACAGTCTCCATGTCTAAGAATGGGTGTATGATTTTATTAATATCTTTATTTAAACTAAAAACCTTAATTAATTGTAATTAATTATTATTGTGTGCCCAAAGTCCTCGCTTTTCCTTGCATAAATATTTCCGCTGGAAGTAGGTTTAGCAGAGTTTATAGTGCAGTTGACGGTATTTTTTCATGGCTTATGTGATACCTAAGTTTGTCAGTTTTTTATGCTGCCTAATGTTTCGGTAGCTTGTTTTTGCTTAGCTTTCCTCCATCAGATTAGTGAGTCATAGTTAATTTTGGGCCTTATTACTGACATAGCTAGTGAACCATTTTCGGTTTTAGTCCCCTAGATCTGTATTTCTTCTTGTGGTCATTACTCACATTTTACTTTTTGTTAATGCAAGCTGAAGGGGGTTAGAGGTAATTTCTTTTCAGAGGTTATCTCTTGGTATATAACCTCGTTTTTTAACTACAGCATTTCATTATAGAAGCATAGGCCTTGTATTTTTATGATGCTCTTCATGGCAAATGCGTTTAGTGTAGTTAGGTTGTTGATCGGTTTCCTTTAATCAAAGTTGTTCACTTTTCATGTTTAGGTTTCACATTGGTTTTCTTATTGCTAAAGTACGTTTCGGGTGGGGTTGCCTTTGGTAAAAGTCGGTCGTACATAGGGTTTCCATTGGTAAATATGAAATTGTAGACGTTTATCCTTTCGTCAAAGTAGGTTTCACATTTGTTTTTCTATTGCCATAGTGTGTTTCAGATGGATTTCTTTTCAGTCAAAGTTTGTTTCTCGTGAGTTTCCATTTTGTCAAAGTAGGTTTCACATTGGTTTTCTTATTGTCCAGGTAGGTTATACACGGATTTCTTTCAGTGCAAGTAAGAATTACATTGGCTTTACCTTCATCTAAGTAGGTTTCCCTTGAGTTTCTCGAAATCGAAATAGGTGTTACTGATTTTACGTCGTGGGACTTTATTTATTTGGCAGAGAAGAGGGAGAACTTTAATTTAGAAGCTTTTCAAACGAGAAGGCCGTTTTTTATTATTGTTTAACTTGTGCTTTGGATTTCACCCTGGAAAGGGAGGTTCTGACGATAATATCCGAAAGAAATTAGACATCCTGGGGCGAGAAGGGGGCAAACGACTCTCGGATGATGAAATTCTTTTCTAGGGGTGAGCCAAGGGTTCAAAAGTACTTTCTCATGTTCAAGAAAGAATTTGTTGGAATGAAAATTATAAATGGTCTGTTTATTAATACAACTTTTCATCCAAAAAGTTTCTTGTTGGTGGAATCCGTCCAACACGACATCCAATCCGACTGCAAACATCCTTAGCTCAGGACACTTTTCCAGTGAGCTAGAGCAAAAAGTCAAAAGCTTTTCCACCGCAGGGAGGCGAATCTCACTTTATTGCCGTCTGACTTTTATCGGAAGAAGGGCAAATGGAGCGGAAATTTCCGTGGGTCAGAGGTGAAGAATGAACTACCTGAAACTTCGCCCCAATTTATGTCCACTTGGTCGAGTTGGCACGAGGCCTGGCTACGTCGACTTTTTTCATCCTGGTCTTACTCAGTGTCCCCTTTTACAATTAATTGCCCCGGCTCCTGATAATATTCGATACCCTCCTTGTTCGAGGGGTTTGGAGCCGTGGTCTGCCCTATATCGATCCCAATTAGCATTGCGGAGGCAATGCCTTTGATCGGTCGGAATTTAATCGGAAGAAATTCCTCTCAACGGTCATAAGATCTACAAACGCTGAACGAAAATTGTAAAAACCTAGTGGATTTAAAGGAAATTAATAGAATATAATGCTACAAAGAAATACAAACAACATACAATTATAAAACAACTCAAACATAAAACAATAAACCTTAGCAGTTAACAAACAGCCGTTCAAACAGGTTTTATGTTTTGAGATTTACTTTGGTTAACGTAAGTTTTAGTTGGGGCTTAATCGTCATCGAAGTCGTCGGTTTTTAACAGGGTTTTTTCTGTAAGTCAAAGAAAGTTTTGGCTTGGGTTTTCCCTTTGCCAAAGTACGTTTTAGTTGTCTTACTTTCGTCAAAGTAGTAGGTTTTAACATGTATTTTGCTATAAGTCAAAGAAGGTTTAAACTTAAACTTCTTGGGTTCTCCCTTTATCAAAGAAAAGACAGACAAACCCGGCGACAGTTAGGATTATTAAAATCTCCGACGACATATAATGTAATTGTTATGTTGAGAATTGTTCACATCTTCTTCTTTTTCATATCCTCAAAATGTCAATGTCATTTTATTTCTTTGTGGCATCCAAGAACCTCAGGTCGGAGTGTGCTACCTTTTAGCCTGGTTAACAATATTCCATTGTGTCACAAGAAGTTTTATGTTTTTGTATCGAACTATCGAGGCCTAATAGCATTCCGTTAAACTGCCATGTTAACGATAAAAATCGTCTAGTTATTTTTTTCCTCCTAATTATCTTTGGTGAAAATCCAATTAAACCACATACAAAGCATGAGTTATTAATTATAATATTAAAAATTATCAATTATAAACCAACTCACCCGAGATCGAACGTCACCGTCGGGATTGGCCAGAGGTTGCCGTGTCCGCTGCATATCAACCTGCAAAGGTCGAGCGAGTCGTAGCGGACCCTGTCGGACGGGTTCATACTCGCCTGAATGCATTTGCCCTGGCTGCATATGAACCTGAAAAAAAAACCGCTAGGTCATTAAATGAAACAATGAACGTTATTATTATACTTTTTCTTTCAATTGTGAGATTTCACTTTGTAAATTATTAACAGGCAATTGTTATTCAAATTGCTTTCACCGGCGTATTCAATTGACTCGTCGAAAGTTCAATTTTCAAAAGGTGGAGAAAAGAAAAAAATATTCCCACCAATTAAGTGGCGGTCATTTATTTTTAAAGATTAGAAATATATCTAGGATGCTTTCTCTGTTGGAGGGTGACTATCATTAATTAAAAACAATAAATATACATATTCAACAGGAGAGCTTGATGAATGATTGTTTTTATCTTAAAATCCACTCCATTCCACAAGCGTATACAACCAAACATTATTTCAAAATTTATACATAAATAAAAGTTAAACTGTACATGGGTTTTCCTTTCGTCAAAGTAAGTCGTACTTGGGTTTTACTTACGTTGAAGTAAGTCGTACTTGGGTTTTCCTTTCGTCAAAGTAAGTCGTACTGGGGTTTTACTTGTGTTGAAGTTAGGCTGTACATGGGTTTTCCTTTCGTCAAAGTAAGTCGTACTTGGGTTTCACTTACGTTGAAGTAAGTCGTACTTGGGTTTTAGTTATGTTGAAGTTAGGTTATACATGAGTTTTCCTTTCGTCAAATAAGTCGTACTTGGGTTTCACTTACGTTGAAGTAAGTCTTACTTGGGTTTTAGTTATGTTGAAGTTAGGTTGTACATGGGTTTTCCTTTCGTCAAAGTAAGTCGTACTTAGGTTTTACTTACATTGAAAGTAAGTCGAAAAGTCTACTTAAACGACAAGTGACGTATCTATAACCTAACTTTGACGAAAGAAAACCCATCTAAATATACATATAAAAGAAATCTTCCTGACCCAACATTGAAGGTGGCGAAATGCTGAAACACGAATGATCGGTAATGACAAATAACAACTAAAATGACTTACTTATTCATTACGTTGTCATTCTTTCCTTGGGCAACGGAAAGAACGAAAAGCGAAACCAGAGCTGATAGTTCTCTCATGTTTTCCTAGAAGAAAAGAAAAACCAAAGAATTACTTATATATATTCAATAATTAATGTGCTACGTTAATACAGTCGTTAAATTTTAACCGTTGGACAGTCTGGTCTGCCCGCCCTCGCTGTATGATTTTCTTCCGATTCTTTATAAATAAGCACGTGAACCGTGTTCACGGTCCGCGGAGTAACATCTTTTTATCAATCCATTAAGCGTGAATTGAAGATTAAAGCAGGAGCACTGGCGGACCAGTTTTTCTCGCTTGTTCGTTCAATGATCGTATGATCGCTGCTATGATTTGTTGAAAAAAATGTGCTCGATAGTTATCGGGGCCGTGACCCCGGCATCTGAATCGACGATCCTTTTCCTCCTTCGCGCACGATAATCTCGTTGATTTTCAATCCTGTCGAGCCCTAAACGCATTAAGCCGTCGTTATACTTGAGGGGGTGGCTTTTCACCAGAGCTTTCAGCCCTCAAATTGAGTTTCGGGGCCTATATCATCCCTTTGAGACAATACTCCAAGGCAACTACCTAAAAAATTTCAACAGATCTTTTATAATCGTGAAAAACAATTTCTCATTTTCACTCTTTAACAATAGGCATGAAAAATAGGACGTATAAGAAAGTAAACGTGTCCTGCGGGGGTCTTTTATCTGAAATTGGACTAGGAAAAGGGGCGTGAAAACGCGCAGAAAGACCGTTTGTATAATCCCGGCCGTTTCCTTATCCGTACGCTTTTAAAACATCCTGGCCGTAATTCGTTATGTGGGCGATATCCGCCCACAGGATCTTCCAGGTTGGCTTTATCCCGCGTTGTGACCGGCTTGGTTTTCCTCGGAACGGTAAAAATGTCGAGAGAATATCCATTCGCCAATACGCCTTAATGAGTCCTCACTGGGGGGAAATAATTACCCTCGTAAAAAAAGGACTAAATGGATTCCCGATACGGAAGTCGATCATGGTTGTAATCAAGATGTATGTTGTGAAGAAGATGTGCGATTTCGACAAGTATGGATCGGAAAATCAATAAGTCTCAGATACTTTTGAGCTTGGTCCTCCTATTCCATCTATTTCTCTTTCCCATTTTAATCGGTTCTTTTTAAAAAGAGAAAAATATGGTTCAAAACTTTATTAATTATTAACAATTATACATTGTTTTTGATCGATAAAGTTTTTTTTTTTTCAATCGAAAATCTGCATTGGAGTTAGTTTATCGAAAAGTAGGCTTCACACAGGTTTTACTACCATAAAAATACATTTTCTTTGAATTATTCATTATAACACTATGCTGTACGTAAGATCTACGTAAACGTTCACTATACTTGGGTGTACTATCTTAAACAAGTTTGTGCTTGTGATATGTTTGTTCGTAAAAGTAGATTATATGTGCGTTCTTTAACATAAAGGAATTTGTGCTTGAGAACATATTCATAAAAGTATATTTTATATAGGTTTTCTTATCGTAAAAGTATGTTTTTCATGGGTTTTCCTAACGTCAAAGTATGTTTAATATGGTCTTTTTTTAACGTCAAAGTATATTTTACATGGGTTTTCTTATCGTCAAAGTATGTTTTTGATGGCTTTTCTTATCGCCAAAGTGTATTTTACATTGGTTTTTTTTATCGTCAAAGTTTATTTGTACGTGGATTTCCTTAACGTCAAGGTGTATTTTACATGGGCTTTCTTAAAGTCAAAGTATATTCTACATGGGTTTTCTTATCGTCAATATATGTTTTTCCGGGGTTTTTCTAACGTCAAAGTCTATTTTACATGTTTTTTTTAACGTCAAAGTATATTTGTAATGGGTTTTCTTAACGCCAAAGTATATTTTTCATGGCTTTTCTTATCGTCAAAGTATATTTGCGAATGGGTTTTTTTAACTTCAAAGTATATTTTATGTTGGTTTTCTTATCGTAAAAGTATGTTTTTCATGGCTTTTCTTATCGTCNTATATATATATGTATTGTAAAATATACCTATGTAAAATATACTTTGACGATAAGAAAAGCCATGAAAAACATACTTTGACGATAAGAAAAGCCATGAAAAACATACTTTGACGATAAGAAAAGCCATGAAAAACATACTTTTACGATAAGAAAACCCACATAATATATACTTTGACGTATGTAAAATATACTTTGTAAAATATATGTATATGTATGTATATATGTAAAATATATGTATTGTAAAATATACCTATGTAAAATATACTTTGACGATAAGAAAAGCCATGAAAAACATACTTTTACGATAAGAAAACCCACATAAAATATACTTTGACGTATGTAAAATATACTTTGTAAAATATATGTATATGTATGTATATATGTAAAATATATATATTGTAAAATATATGTATTGTAAAATATACTTATGTAAAATATACTTTGACGATAAGAAAAGCCATGAAAAACATACTTTGACGTTAAAAAAGCCCATATTAAATATACTTTGACGTTAGGAAAACCCATGAAAAACATACTTTTACGATAAGAAAACCCATATAAAATATACTTTGACGTTAAGAAAACCCAAGTGCAAATATACTTTGACGATAAGAAAGGCCATGAAAAATATACTTTGACGTTAACAAAACCCATGTACATTAATTGTTCAACTTCGACAGAATTTCTTTTGCTTTGATAGTAACGGGTTTTCTTAACGTCTTAAGTATATTTTACGTGGGTTTTTATAACTCCAAAGTATATTTTATGTGGGTTCTCTTATCGTCAAAGTATATTTTTCATGGCTTTTCTTATCGTCAAAGTATATTTTTTGCACATGGGTTTTTTTATCTTCAAAGTATATTTTATGCGGGTTTTCGTATCGTCAAAGTATGTTTTTCATGGGTTTTTTAACGTCAAACAATATTTTACATGAGTTAACTTTCGTTAAAGGTGATAAATGCTTTGTTTTCTATTTCTTCTTGATTGGTTGAACATGGGTTTAGCCTTCGTCAAAGTAGGTTAAATTAAAGTTGTCAAAATGAGAAAAGTAGGCTTTATTCCCTTCTTCTAAATAGGTGTTACATTGGTTTTCTCGTTCGAAAGCGGTTTGTACGTAGGTTTTCTTTTGGTTAAATTAGGTTATCCGACAAAGCATGATTTACTTGAATTTTCATTTCGCCAAAATACGTACGTGGATTGATTCTTTCTTTCACGTAGATTTTTAGAGTTTTTTTCGTCCACAAAGTACTTTGTACATATACCGGTCCTTTTAATATTTTATAATTTGTACATGCATTCTCCTTTTGTCAAGGTAAATCATTCAGACTTTTCTCCATGGTCAACGTCGATTTACACGCCGTGAAGGCACAATGCTGTTATGTGTTTTAAAGCTTTAAATTTCGACGGAATTTAATACTAGAGCTGATATATTAAACACTATCCAATTTACAACCTACTCTTCTGTTAATAAGTTTGTGGAGAATCCGTTTAATTAAATTTGTCATTTATGGAAGTTTTAGTTTCGAACTCATTCCTTTGGATGTAATAGTTTCTTGTGGGATTTTCCAGGTCTTTTCCCATCGGTCTTGACACTTCCTCGGCCAAAGGAAAAGCCTTTTTTTGACAGGTCAGGGTGTAAACAGGGTGTTCCCGTTTATCCCATATTCTCACCCCTGGCTCATATTGGACGGATGGGTCTCGCTAACTTTCCACCCTATATTGCCCCCCCCCTCATGTTCTATCTCCATAAATTTGAAAAAGATCATCCAATATCTTTGGAGAAAGGCTAAGAGACAACTACTACAAATTTGTTTTTTTCACTTAAATAGGATTCAACATCATCAGCAGCCGCGTCAGCACTCTAGACCTGGTTGAATTTCAAGGAACAACACTCCCAGTCGATTCCGCGTGCCCTTACCGTGGGAAAAATGTTCAAAATCCACATCGAACGAGAAGCCAGGACGGTCAGGCTAAAAAGTCCCAGAAATCCGCAGGTTGAAAACAGACAAAAAACGAGGACAAGAGACAACAATGTAATTCTGTAGTCAGGGGAACATGAATAGACATACTTACATTCTGAATAAGGAAACTAATGCAAAACCTACTTTGACAACAGGAAAACCTGTACGTACAACCGAACTCATATAAGGAAAACCCTATCCACGTACAACCTAACTTCAACTATAGTAAAACCCGTGTATAACTTAGATTGCCGAAAGAAAGCCCACGTACAACTTAACTTCAACTGAAGTAAACTCGTGTACGACTTTGACGAAAGGAAAACCTATGTAAGACCTAGTTTAACTAAAGAAAATCCATGTACAACCTAACTTCAACTTGAAGTAAAATTATAAGACGAAAGGAAACGCACTTACAACCTAATTTTACGAAAGGAAAACCCATGTAGACCCTATTCTGACGGAAGGGAAACAGATGAAACATATTTTTGGCAATAAGAAAACCAGTGTACTGGTTACCTACTTTACGAAAAGGAAACTCGTCTAAAAACCACTTAGACAAAAGGAAACCATCTACAACCTATTGAGACGAAAGAAAAACAATGAAAAACCTTTAAAACTTATTTCAAAGGAAGGAAATATGTATAAACTAACTTGCTGATAAAAAAAAAACCTTTATACAAACATCTTGGACGAGTTTTGATTTGTCTTAGCCTTATAGAGATATACATTTTGTACTATTTGACGATATTTTACATTATCGGGTTCTTCAAAGGTTTGTCGAAAATAATATCTCATGTGGAACCTAGATTGACGGAATCCAATGCTTCTGGTCCGCTCGTTTTCGCTTATTCCACTCAACTGTCCCGCATCTTACCTGCCCAAGGTGTGTTCCTGGGTTTTACGACTTTTTCAACTAGGGATTCGGGGTTTTGGGCCGTCTTGAATCCCAATTGTTCGCCAGGCCGGGTGAAAGATCGCGTTTCTCTCTTTTTTTTTTGTTGGCACGGTGCGCGTGGGAAAGCCTGGCTTATTGTCGGCCGGCGGTTCCCACGTTTACCGGATCGTCAGGACGCCGCGACGCGGCGAAACGGGGCGGATCCA